CTAAAGCACAAGAAGTGAAATCAAGAATCAGTCAATGGGATGGACTCAAGCTTCTTCACAGCAAAGGAAACAATCAGTAATGTGAAGAGAGAGTCTACGGGATGGGAGAAAATCTACCACACGTGCCCTAGACAGAGCACTCACCTCCAGGATATATACAGAACTCAAAAAACTTAACACCAAAGAAACAAATAACCCAGACTCCTAGGACTATGGGCCAGGGAACCGAATGCACACTTCACAGAAGAAATATAATCTATCAACAAATGTATGAAAAAATGTCTGATACTTCTAGCAATTAAAGAAATGCAAATCAAAACTGCTTTGAGATTTCATCTTATTCCATTCAGAATGGCGATAATCAAGAATTCCAGCAACAATAGATGTTGGCAAGGATGTGGGGAAAGAGGTTCACTCATACATTGCTGGGGGGTCTGCACATTGGTGCAACCACTCTGGAAAGCAGTACGGAGATTCCTCTGAAAACTTGAAATGGAACCACTGTTTGATCCAGTTATCCCACTCCTTGGTTTATACCCAAGGGACTTAAAGTCAGCATACTACGGTGACGCAGCCACATCAATAGCAGCTCAACTGACAATTGCTGAATGATGGAACCCACCTAGGTGCCCTTCAACAGATGAATAGATAAGAAAATGTGGCATATAGACACAATGGAATATTATTCAGCCTTAAAGAAGAGTGAAATTATGGCATTTGCCAGTAAATGGATGGAGCCGGAGAATATTATGCTAAGCAAAAGAAGTCAATCCCAAAGAACCAAAGGCTGAATGTTTTCTCTGATATGTAGATGCTAATTCACAATAAGTTGGGAGGCACTATGGAAGAATAGAGGTATTTTGGATAAACAGAGGGGAGTGAAGGGAGGGGAGGGGATATAGAGGTGGGAATGTTGGTAGAATGAATGAATTACCCTATGTGTATGTATGAGTGGTGTAACTCTATATCCTGGACAACCAGAAGAATGAGAAGTTATACTCCATTTATGTAAGACGTGTCAAAATGCATTCTACTGTCATATATATCTAATTAGAGCAAATAGAAAATCATTTAAGAATAAATAAATAAAGCTGCTGTGAATATTGGTGTACAGGTCTTTATAAAGAAAGATTTCATTTCTCTTGGGCAAATACCTCTAAGTGGAATGACTGGTTGTACACTTAAATAAAAAATTTCCTTGCAAACTGTTTTTCAACATGGTTGTACCATTTCACATCCCCACCAGCAGCGTTTGAGAGTTCTAGTTGCTCTACACCCTTACCTGTCTTTTTAAAGTGGCATTATCTTTTTAATTTTAGATGGTCTCCTAGGTCTAAGTGTTATCTGACTGTGGTTTGATTTGCATTTCTCTGTTATGCACATGCCATAGCTTTAACCCAACATACCCCTTTCTTGCAGACTATTTTGCTCTTCAGGTTGGAAAGATGGGATTAAAGTGCAGGATCATTCCCCCAGCAGTCACTGGGTCACCAAAGTTTGAGAGAATGTTTCGTGCACAGTGAATAATGCAGCCCCACCCCTCACAGGTCTGTGCCCACCACAGTTGGAATGGTAATGGGCCACCCACCACTAGGGCCCTAAAGACCCTTATAAAGTATAATGAGTATAATGGAAAGTCACTGTAGGGTTTAAGCACAAGGGAAGCATGATCTAATCTTTTACAAGGATGGCTCTGCTTGCTGAGAGTGGTCTGCACAGAAGCATCAGTAGAAGCAGAGAATTCACTGAAGAGGCTACTGCAATAGTCCAAGCAGGAGACGCTGTGGCTCCAGCCAGAGAGACAGCAGATGAAGGGGAATGGTCAGATCCAGATCTATTTTGCCATAATGAAGGCAGAGTGTAAGAAAAGTGTAAAAACCGATCCTTGGATTTTTGGCCTAAGCATCCCCAAAATGGGGCTGAATTAACTGAGATGGAGAAAGCTGTAGGAAGAAGGCTGTTTTCAGGAAAATTAGGAAGTGGTGTCCTGACATGCTGTGTCTGTGCTGCAGCCAAGAAGAGGCACCGTATCTGCTGAACTATTTGGATTATTACTGTACCCTAAACTGACTAAGTCACCGTGGTTTGCACCTCCGATTAGAGATAGAGAGGAGCTCACTGGGCGTACAAAGCTGCATTTTAGGAGAGATCTGAGCGGGAAATATAAATTCATCTCCATCACGATGATCATTCCAAACCATGGATGAGATCATGAAGGTAGTGGGTGTAGGGCAAGAAGGAGGAGGACCAGGACCTGAACCCAGAGCTCTCCAGCATCGGGAATTGAGGATGATGCTAGGACCAGCACCCAGAGCTAAGGAGATCATGGAGGCTCTACTCACATGTCAGGTGACCCTCGATTGGTTATATGTGCAAATTAACGAACCCAAAGAGCAACAACCAAAGCACTGGAGAGTGAATTGGGAGCCCCACGTCATGACTCGGGCTCAGTGAGTAGTCAGCTTCCCCAAGGTGAGTGGCTGGGAGGAAGCTTGTTTTTTTTCTATTTTATTTTGAGACGGGGTCTTGCTAAATTGCTGAGGCTGGCCTCGTGCCTTCCTCCTGCCTCGGCCTCCTGAGTGGCCGGAATTACAGGTGTGCTCACCATGCCCAACCTTTCTCCTGGGGAATCCTCAGATGACAGTCCCTCTATGTCGTCTTTCTGGGACCATTTTATTTCTCTAGAGAAAACTCTCCACGCCTTCTTCAGGAGTGAGCGTGGTGGGGGAAGGCTTGGTGCTGCTCACGATGTGGATTCTCACTGTTTTCTGGACAGACTTGTACCCCACCCTGCACAGTGCCTGGAGGGCCCTAGAAAGTCTCTGGTTCAATTTCTCCCAGCAGTGACCCTCCAGCTCCTGGGATGGGGGAGAAGGAGGCAGAGGGCGGAGGTGTGGGGAGCGTGGTGCTTCTTGGCCTTTCAACCAATCTTCTGTTTCAACCTTTGGCGTCTAAGGCACTGGTCTCCCATCCCTGAGCCTCTCCGGGATGGGAGCACGGATGCTCCCAGCCTGCCCCGTTCTTTCTCCCCACATTCTGCCCGCTTAGCTACTGTACCCCCATGTACTGTCCTTCCTGCAGAAACTTGCTCTAGATGGCTGTTTCTATTTTTTTTTTTTTTTTTTTTTCCGCGCTTTTGAGAGGGTTTTGGGGCGCGAAGAGATATACTTTTGTTTTTCCTGTGGTGTTTTTCAGGGGGTGTCTTTTGTGTGTTGTCTTTGTGCTCTGAGGTGCTGGGTCTCAGCCTTTTGCGCCCCCTATCTCTTCTCTCTAATTCAGGAGTCTTTTGTTTTCATGCGATTTGTTACTTACTCTTTCTTTACTTATCTTTCTCCTTTATTTAGGAAAGTGAGACTCATTTGTGATGGTGACGTAAAATTCTTTCTTTCCTAATTTAAGTTTTAAAAGAGTCGATTCATGGGAAACTGCTCCATGGTACGTGGAGAGGTGACTGTCTTGACAGGGATGGGTTAATGCTGGAAATTTGGGAGATGCTACACTATTTATAAAAATCATCACAGGAGGGATTTCAGGTCTCCTCACTTTGTCCCTCATGATCTGAGGACTTCTTCGTGGGCAGCACCAGGCTTCCAGCAGGCTAGCTCCCTGGGCCACTTCTTGGTTCTATTTTTGTTCCTCCAGTTTCCATACATTTGATTTTCTTTCAAGTTGCTACTCTCGCTATATCTGGACTCCTCTTGTCCTAGAAATAAAGCTGGACACTGTTTCCAAATATTTCTCTTAAGTTGCTATTTATAAAATAAGTATACAAACCCAGTTCCTTTGTTAGGAGTGTTTCGTTTGGTTTGATTAATCGCAGAGAAACCTTCAGGGTCTGTGTGATAAGAACACCCCTCCCCCACATCAGGGCCATTGCAGACACAAAGGGCACCTTGGTGGTTGCCCTGTTTTCTCTGTGAGGTTGAATGGGGACAGCTCTACTTGCTTCCCTGGATTTCTTCTTGGATATTCTTCAGCCCTACTCAAGTTCTGGCCTTGGACTCTAAGGTTGAGGATAAATCTGGCCAAATCAGTTTGCATTCATTGCTCGTGACGTCATTTAGACTTTATCTGAAGAGGTCCGGCTGGGGATCCTGGGGTAACCAATTCTTTCTTGGTAACTCTACCTCTCTTTAGAGCAGCTCCCTGAGCTCTGCCACCCCCTGGAGAAGGAATGTACCTTCCATCTGGTTCTTGGGGACCAAAGCATTGATACCTCCAAGCCTCTCCTGAAGGTGTCAGGACTCTGACTTTCACAGCAATGTCACCTTCCCCTAACCTTCTTCTCTGGCTGCCTTTGCTACCTCATCAGCAATCACCTCAAGGTGCCCAGCAACCCCTCAGAGCCTGCTTCCTGTCTGAGGCCACCTGGGGTTGGGGAGTCCAGGTGACAGAGATGAGTGTCCTCTAGAGTTCTGCACCCCTTTGCCAAAGTACATTTTTATAAATCACGAGAATCATGACTATAGTTTTTCCAAGAAACATTCCTTTGTGCTACTGTTGAACTTAGAAAATTCCATCTTGTCTAATTTAAAACACCTCGATTCCTTTACATGGGAGACTTTCATTACATCTAAATGGGAGAATCCAGGTAACAAACTGATCCTGCTGCAATTTGAATATGTTTCCTCTGATTGTATCTTCACTGGAAGGAAGCTCCTGACTCACTCTTTCACAAGCTTGTGGCCACTATTAAGCTTCCTTCATCTCTATTTTGAGGCTGGGTAGCACTAATTTTTCTTCTTTTGTTTTCCCCCCCAACCACTTTTAGATATTTCAATTGTTCCCTTCAGACTAAAATTTTTAGGATTATTTATTAACCTGGAGCTTAGAAATATATATATAGAATATCACACAATGGTTTCACTGGGGCAGGGAAAGGTAGAAGAATCACCTCTGACCTAGGGCATATGGTGAGGTTGTTTACTTGTACAAGTAAGGTATGGAGTCTTTCTACCTTGGCACCTGTACTCAAAATGGAGCAGCTTATGGCAAACTACTGCTTTACAGAATGTACACCTATCTGCTTAATGCTGAATTATTCGGTTTTTGCCCCAGATTAACCTGCCACAGGGCACAAATAAACCCTGCCGTCATGAATCTAGGTACACTAGAAATATTAGCCTCCTCTTCTTCTACTATAGTTTTTGTATTTTATCAGTTCACTAACTTTTTACAGTCTTTTCAAATTCTAATCCTAAAATTTTAGAAATTAAGACCAGTAACCTTAATGCACAGCTGAAAACAATGGAGAATAGGAAAGTGTCATGATCGAGCTGTCATTAACATAGACCATGTTTGTGTCCTTCCACAATATCAGAATTTATTGAATAATACTAAATTCACAAGAGACACCACTTTCCTCGGTGGCAGTTCACTGAATATGGGTGGGCCACCTGGTCGTCATAAGCCAGGCAAGCACAGGTACTTTTATTCCAGTCTTAATTTCTCATAGCTGTAACATTCAAGTCACATGCCACATTTTACAATTGTTTTAGTCAGTTTTTTTTTTTTCTGCTGTGGTTAAAAGATCTGACCAGAACAATTGTAGAGGAGGAAAAGTTTATTTGGTAGCTCACAGTTTTGAAGGTCTCAGTCCATGGGCAGCCAGTTCCATTCCTCAGGGGTCAAGGTGAGGCAGAAGGTCAAGGCAAAGAGAAAGGGTGTAGTGGAGGGAAGCAGCTCACGTGATGATCAGGAAGCAGAGAGAGACTCTACTCTCCCCAAAGCCACACCTATGGGGACCCACCTCCTTCAGCCACCCCCTACCTGTCTTCAGCCACCACTCAGTTAAGCCCATTAGGGGATTCGTTCACTGAATGGGTGTAAGCTCTCATAACCCAATCATTCCTCCTCTAAGCCTTCTTGCATTGTCTTACACATGAGCTTTTGGGGGACACCTAACATTCAAATCATAACAGAACTACACACATACACACACACACACAGACACACACACATACATAGGTTGCAGAAAGGCTAAGAAAGGGTTAAGAAGTCCCCATAAGGACTTCAGCAGGTTGAGCTGAGAGCAAAGGAAGAGAGCAGATATAGATGCAAAGAGTCACTGAGGGTGGTCAGAGTATGAGAACCAGCCAAGAATTGGTTCAGGGTGCAGAGCTGTCGAAGCTCAGGAACTGATTCTAGGCCAAGGCCTGGACTGCCGCAGTTTCAGTGTCGGTTTGAGGT